GCATTGGTGTTTTGAATGTGATCAAGACGCATGGTGGACATGGCTACCCGAGACTGCCACTGTAGCTGGGGCCGTGACGGTCGTGTTCAGACGACGACGATTAGGCAGTGCGACCGCTTGTTGGATCTCATCTAATCTCTCGCGATCGAGTCATTATGATCTGGTAATATTGAACCCAGCGCCGCTGCGATTGGAGATCTCACAGCGACTGCTGCCTGCAGACTCGAGTACGCAGTGCGTATAGCCGTCGTCTACCTCACGTCCCGTTTCTCAGCTCTCGGCTACCAGTACTCTTTCCCGCAATCCACACGCTTTCGTGCATTCCCATTGTTCTCGGCTTCACAGGCGCGCACACTGGGCTCACTGGCAAGTGAGTTGAGCTTCGCACATACCCACAGCCCAAAGAGAGGCATCATCCCGACGTCAGACGCAACAACCTCAACACTTCTGACACCAGTTTTGACAACCTCGGTCCTACACAGGCTAGCGACAGGGACCGGGTAGCTATAAAGGCGGACAGCGTCAGTTGAAAGGTGCGTTTCACGCTCACCTCGGGTCCACTATCGTTAAAAATCCTCATCCATCAGTATCCATCCTCCTTCATCTTTCACCCACCATGTCGACCTTTGGAACCCTCTTTCGAGTTACCACGTACGGAGAATCTCATTGCGCCTCTGTTGGTGCCATCATCGATGGCTGTCCACCCGTACGCTCCTCATTCATGCAAGTTGGCCACTCTTTCTTACATTTCAGTAGGGACTCCCTCTCATAGCTCAAGACGTGCAGACACAGCTCAGCCGACGACGACCTGGCCAGAGCAATCTTACAACGCCTGTATGTTTACTCATACCTGACCCACATGACTGCAATGCTAAAGCGATATATGCACTTCATAGCGAGACGAAAAGGATACAGTTCAACTACAGTCCGGAATCGAGCACGGTATCACGCTCGGTACTCCCATTGGCCTTCTTGTCCGTAACGAGGATCAGAGACCACATGATTATTCTGAGGTGGGCATCACAATCTTATTTTATCTGTTGTTATTCCTGAGCGGAAACCTCAGACAGACTTGTACCCTCGTCCCAGTCATGCAGACTGGACTTATCTGGAGAAATACGGCGTGAAGGCCAGCAGCGGCGGCGGTCGAAGCAGTGCTCGTGAGACTATCGGTGCGCTTTCACGGACACACACACTGTCCATCTTCATTCATTCAATTTTTGACACCTCAGGTCGAGTAGCAGCGGGTGCTATCGCAGAGAAATACTTAAAGCTCGTTTTTGGTATTGAAATTGTCGCATTTGTGTCGTCCGTCGGCAAGGTACATCTCCCAACAAACATGGGATCACCTTCGCAGGTCCCGGATGACGACGACGACTCAGTCGAAGACTCGATCAGCCCCGAGTTTGTCTCACTCCTCCGCACGGTGACCCGAGAGCAGGTGGACAGTCACCCAACTCGCTGCCCCAACCCCGAGATAGCAGAGCGCATGACCAAGGTTCGTATTCTTCAATATTTCGCACCTGGTCATACCATTTAAAACTGTTGCAGCGTGTCATCCGCGCAAAAGACGCCATGGACTCGATCGGAGGTACGGTGACCTGCGTCATCCGTGGTGTTCCCTCCGGTCTCGGCGAGCCTGTGTTCGACAAGCTCGAGGCGAAGCTCGCTCACGCAATGCTATCCATTCCCGCAACAAAAGCCTTCGAGATCGGCTCGGGCTTCCGGGGGACAGAAGTCCCAGGCAGCAAACACAACGACCCGTTCTTTGTCAAGGCCGACGGCACAATGGGCACCAAGACGAATTGGAGCGGCGGGGTGCAGGGTGGTATCACCAATGGCGAGGACATCTACTTCCGGTGCGTCGTTCCGCCATGGCAGACTTATCATCCAGTTTGCTGACCAGTCGATCGATAGAATCGGGTTCAAGTCGCCTGCAACCATCTCTCAGGCACAAGAGACTGTTCAGTACGACGGCACTCCGGGGACCCTTGCCGCTCGAGGAAGGCATGACCCCTGCGTCGTGCCTCGGGCGGTCCCGATCGTTGAGGCCATGGCAAGCTTGGTCATCATGGACCAGATGCTCATCCAGAATGCGCGGAAGACTTCAGCCTCGCTCCTTCCGCCTATCTCTACTCTCCCGCCTACTATGGTGAAACCTGGACAGGCGCAGGTCAACGGCAAGCATTAGGTTGTATGTATTTTGGATGTACAACGTGAATAGAAGTGAGGATACAGCACACAGAAGTTTCAACAACCGCCTGTGCAATAGCTACAAATATATATGTTGCGGATACACAATACATGACTGAGTAGACTACACTGAGTAGGGGCGGTATGAGCAGACCTGAAAAAGCTGGATATCGGGAGTGTGGTATAAGTCATTCGTCATAATCGAAGTCCTCAGAACAATATGTACAGCACAGAACGGGTTCGAGGTGCCACCACCACCACTGTCGAAAAGAACGCATTCAATGACCACGGTGTTGGTAATCCGAAAGTACTCACATGGCGGTTGAGCAATCTCCGTGGCCAAGGACCGAAGACTGCCTCCTCTTCTCTCCTAAGGGCCGCAGCGCGCAGTTCCTCCTCGTACTCTTCCTCATCCCCTTCCCTAAGACGCGAGCCCTCGTCGTCTGTATCCACATAAGTCGGACGCCGCGAAGATTTCATCAAGGGAGTCCGTTCATTTAGTTGCCTACTACTACCATTCCGCCTCCTTGCATCTCCTACCCCACTATCCGGCGGACGAGGCGACACCAGCACCCGCTTCTGCCCTGCATATGCGCTGAGCCGGCGTCCGAGCGGGCCCCACAGCGCATTCTCGTCCGCATGGTAGCGCAAAGGCGCAGAGATAGATGACGACGGCGATGAGGAGCTGGACGAGGGCGTGCCAGACGGCGCGCACCCGTTCCCGTTCCCGTTCCCATTCCCGTTCGCCGTACGATGCCGGTGCATGCCCGAGGTAATGCGCACACGCGAGCGAAAGCGCACACGCGGGGCAGGGCGTACGGCGGGCGGAGGCTCGGACGAGCTGCGCTCGCAATCGGTCCCGGACTGCTGCTCGTGCGGTGACATGGTGGCGAGGTCGTTCGCATCGCTGATGATAATGACTGAGGAGGGGGTCTGCGAGCGGGGAGAGGGGTCGTCGTCGATGAGGTGCAGGGCATTGCCTGGCACAATGCATGGTTTGGGGGAGTGGTCTTCGATGGAGAGCTTGGGGTCGTAAAGGACTTCAATGGGCTCACTCGGGAGCTCGATAGTCATGTGTCGTGGCCGCATTTTGGCGTCACCGTCAGAGTCGGTGTTGTTGTCCGCGTCGTTTTGACTTGCTGGGAGCCTCGGCTTGCCGCTGGTCGCGTGCAGGTCACCCTCTGTATGCGGGTTTAGCGGCCGCTCTTTTTGTGCGTGTTCAGGCTCGCTTCCTGAACGTGGGGAGAAGTGAGTGAAATTCCTCCAGCGAGATAAGAGGCCAGCGTGGGGCGTACCAACGTTGATTCGGAGATGCTTTTTTGCTGCAGCTGCAAGATGTGAGTCTAGAGACACCACCATCGTCGCTGTTGTAGTCGTCGACTCGCCATTCATCGGACGGAGTAAAGCATGATAGGTGGCGGTAGCTATGAGTAACGCGGATAATTTAGAGTGGACCAAATCTGAAGTAACGGTGTACGGATAAGCGCAATCTTGGAGGTCAGCTGCCTCCAGTCTAGAATGGGATCACGCGAGCCGCTATTGCAATCAACTTACCTCCCTCAGACAGGTAAATGTAGCCGATGTCACCTGTGAGAGCCGGTCCCTACAAACGGACGTCCTGAGCAACTCTAACGCAGGTTGCACATCTATGTACATTAACTTCACACTCTACGCGTATATGAGAGCCCGTTTCAACTAGTGCACAGAGTGATCACTGTTTCATTGTAAAAACACAGAGGTATTACCAAAAAACAGCGCACGTAGCTCGTCCTCAAAGAAAGCAAAAGATGAGAAGATGGCTAGTGGTCCGGTATGTCGGCAAGAATGTCATCCACAATGGCTCGCCGGACAGAGGCCGCATCAAATTGCGGCATCTGAGTAGTCTCATCGACATAGCTTTCCACCTCTATACACTGAACACCAAGCCTCTGGAGAGGAATGTTTATCTGAAGTGCTGCATTGTAAAGTAGTGACAAAAGCCTTACCGTTATTCCGGCGATATCCACTGCAATAGCTGTACCCCTCAAGTAAACGAGATGTGTAATAAAAGCGGATATTGGGTAGGTAGTTTCCGCTCTCCCAAGCCCTCCATATGATTGAGAATGGTGTGATGTATTCAGGGTTTGGGCAACGGTTCTGCAACATGAGCTAATAGGGCGCAGTTCATAAGTGGTGCACATAGCTTACTTCACATAATCCACCGCAGTGTAACCATCGGTTTCTCGGTCGTTTCGTGAATTCACTATTCGCCTGGGTCAATAATGTAAACATCCATTATACTAGTGCAACCAACTCACGCAGTAAAACTTTGGCACGAAGAGAACGAGAACGAGCGATGCTACTTGCAACCCCTCGAAGTGCGAGACACGGCATGACACTGGCAACCCAGTCAGGATGCTTTTCATAATGAAACGGCCTTCAAACACACCTAGTCCACAATGAACCACACGAGTATACAAGCACATCGCTAAACGATAAATTAGCGATATATTCTGCATTTGGCGAGGGGTGAATTTCATTGCCGTATGCATTGATGTAATATAATCCTGTCCCACACATGATCAGCTCACTTCAGGAGCAAGCTAATGCATGTGCACACACTTGAGATTCTGGCATTCAACGGCGCATAGTTGCTTTTGGACCCAGATTGAAACAAGATGTTACGCTGAGGCGGAATGACGACGCCTAGCTCATCGACAGGTGACGTTGCCTCAGAATCCGATACAGTGACGTTGATATATGGTTCCGACCTGGCGGGATGAGAGATCTCACACTGACCGATCAGCTTCTCTCCATTCTCCTTATGAAGATTAAGAAAACAGGGTCATGTCAGTGATAAGTGCACCCAAGAGGACTAGGTTCTGACTAGTTCAGCGGCGATGGTGACTGTATGATTTGTCACAATCGCAGGTAGGATATTGGCCTGAATATCGGTAAGAACAACCGAGAAGTGGGGGAGAAACTTCGCACCTGACTATTGGTGATTGAAGAAAAAAGGAAAATGGCTGAGGGCAGCGATCGAAAGAAAGCTTGCGCTGCCGAGAGGAAGTAGTTGCCGATGCTGCTCAACGACGTTGGCGGCTGGGCATGTCGTAGCTTGAACAGGTGCAAACCTTCCATTGACAAATGAGAAGTTTTTATGCGCGCGCTTGAGCACTTCGCTTTCGAAATGAACAAGGAATCCTGATCATGGTTAGCATTTTGCACAGAAAATCGATCATAAAATGGGTTTTACGTCTGATCATCTCCTTTCTGTCATTCGGAATTCCAGCCCAGAGAGTGCTTCGGCCTTCTACAATGCTCCGCCATTCCTCGCGAGCCTCAGGTTCAGTATGAGTAGCAGGTAGTCGATACGCAAGGAGATTGCGGATACAGTCCAATGGCGACGAGGGTGCGGCTGGGGGAATCAGCCTTACCAATCGTGAGCGTATGTCGCCTGCTTCGTTCATTCAGCTACGACTTGGAGAATCAAGCTTGGACTCACCAATAGATGGCCCCCCTAGGACACGTATGATCTCACTCGATGAACCCCCGTCATCCGACACAGGCAGTACATAACACGCATTGCCGAACGCAGAGCAGATGGAGTTACATCCAGTCCCGCCTGATATGACTAGGAAAGTCGGAGAGTTCTCGCTCAAGTTTGTTCTTTCGGAAACCTCCTCAGTGGCAGTGGCACCCGCAGTGTTCGGACTCGGTGCTGATTGTCCAACAAACCTCTCTGACTGAGTGGGCAGGTCGAAAACAGACGAACCGCTAGGACTGTCTGCTCCTGAATGATACGGTCCAGGTGTTAGATTGAAGTAAGACATCGGCATAAGTACTCAGACTGTACAATGATTATCGAGGTGAGACAGGGTGAGACGTTGACGGTAGTAAGTGTCTAAATACAGATATTCCCATGCCAGTGAGGTCTCTTCACCGCTTTAGCCTTCGACTGCGGCACTCCCGTGCACTGACGCACACTCTTCCCTTTCGTTAACTCTGGAGTCTGAACAGCACTGAAAGGCCAGTACACTCGACTGACGGCACACAAAGTCTTAGGCTATTGTGAAATAGACATGAGCGACTTTCCTGCGCTGCCTGGTTTCTACCAGCTGATGTATTTGCATATCGAACCGGGTATGTTTGTCCCATCGAAGTCACTGCAAGATAAATCCGTAATGATCTGTGGGTTAGCCTCGACAATTTTACCATCTGTTTTGGCCTGGTTTTTCCCCGGTGCAGCATGGTTCCATCACCAACTCATCCCTGATGCATCTCCAATACCTGCTGCTGGGTCGTTAGACCCGCGTACCGTCATGGCGGTATGGCAACTTGGGAATTGTAAGCTTCTATTTCCCGAATCCCCGAAGTAGTCATAGCCGTTAACAAGGCTTTGTGTTCATCATCTAAGGCTATCTTTTACTTGGTTTGATTTCGACGTTTGTATTCCGTGCTGTGCGGGATGCTCTGCCCAATAATCCTATTGCGCAAGAGCGTATCCTTGGTGCGAGCTTCACAGCTCTGGCATTGGCAGATGTGCGTTCTCTTTATGTGTCTTGCGTCTCATATACAAATCTTGCCTTATAGGTAACACAGTACGTCTCCAAATTTGATCTACAGAGATGGCTGCTCAATATGGATACAGCATGATATGGTCTTGGATTGCTTTACCCGAGGAAATGCGATACAATCCCGCTGCTTGGAATTCGATGACACATGGGAACATCACTTTTGTCATCGTCCTCCTTAGTGGCAGGTATGCAGAATCTCCTTATTCTTGCTGTTCCGTCATGACATAGGTTTATATAGACTCGCTTGGTTCATGGGTATAGGTCGGAAAAGGTATTATTATGGTCAGAAAGGGAAGGGAAAGACTGCGTGAGCTTTTGTTTTGTTGCTTGGACAATGAGTCACTTTCGACAGCAAATTCCGTATCAAATGATGAGTCCGAACCTTCCCGCAAAGACCAGTGTTAGAGAGTAGACGTGTGAACCCTCAACAGCATTTATTGGCCGCTCTCAGCCACCAGTTGTCCTACCATGACAGCGTGGCTTAGTGCATCCTCTCGCGTCGAGATATAACGCTGACCTTTGACAGCATATGCGGACCCGAGGCACCATCACACGTTCAAGGAAACCGCGGTAGTCAACATGAGTTGTGTGAGCAGGACAGCCGAATATATGTCTGCAGTTGATTACGGCGCGGGTTATTTGGCAGGCCATTCGCACACGACACCGCGGCGACGCCTGTCAGACTGTGTTGTATCGCTATTTGTCAATACGGCACCGTCCGGTACGGGCTGTTCAGCTCATGGACTCACGATAATGCCCTGCAGTGGGATGACTCGTGAGTCTGAATGCTCGAATAATTGTAATTGTCCCTGACATCCTAGTATTAAGGTCACACGTGCATATGGATGGCATTTCGCTCATTATATTTTGACGTTGCCACATACTTTATCAATATTACGTCGTATCTCGTAGTAAATTTGAAAATAGCTGATGTCAAATCGCAGTTGACTTCAGCCACCATATGTGAGCAGACCACTTTTGCTCCCTTATGCGCATCCCACTGCTCTGGTCAGATTATCTGACAGTCTCCGTCGAGGCAGGTTACCGCCTTCAGAACGGGCTTCCATTCCTCTTTGAAGCACACTCACAAATCCCTACGTGTCTGAATCATTGGACTTGATATAGTCCCTTGCATGTGTTGGTCCTCGAGTGCAGCCCAAAAATAATTAACCCCTATACTCTGTTTATCACGCTCAAGAAACCAAGGACCAGGAACGATCAGAACAAATAGTCACCAAGTCAAATTGCGACCTTCATCGTTACCCGAGCTCGGAGTATACTGGGTTCAGTTCTTTCTATACCTCCGTCAAGGACCTGCATGCCGTTGACTAGGAGCAGTCACAGCCCAATCTTCATTACGAATTCATTACATCTTAGTTCAACGCGCAGTCGTAAATCGGTATCATTCTCCACGATAAATATATTTAAGGACCAGGGTATGAGCTGACCGCCTCCACTTGTACATTTGTCCTCGTAGTAGAAGGATTTCCCAGCTTTACTATGCGTGTCATCATTGTTTCCCTCACCCTCATCCTAAGCGCGATCGTTGCTGGGGCTCCCATCCGAGCGTACCGTGAAGGTATAGTTGCTAGCGTCCTTCGAAGATGCTATTATTTCGGCCATTTAAAACTTCATCTATTTTCACCTTGCTAGATACATTAGATTTCGGTCCGACCTTCGCAAAGATTATCCTTGAATCAAATGGTATGCCCCTGAGGTTGATTTCCAACTCGAGATTTACTAGCGAATGATTTTGCTTTTTTATTTCTTCGTACGAAAATTCAGATGCGCCTATCATAGAGCGCAGAGGTGAGTAGCTTCTTAGTCAATGCCGACGACTGCCCATAATCCCCGATCCAGATGAAACTACAAGTCTGATTTTGTCTCACGCACCGTACATCGGGATTCCTCGAGGTGAGGAGTTTCAAAGTGAGTCGCCTCCCCAGCCCTTTGAGTGTCGCTAAAAATCAGATGCTGGAATAGATGGCAGCACCGCCCTGTCGATGAGAGACGCTGCGGACGGATCAGAACCTGGCTCGTGTGAGAGTTACTTGGGTTATTTATTGTTCAATAATCAATTCTTCGCGAAGACGCTGTGGCCCCGGGGCCGGAAGATGCAAGATACCTGCGCGGAGAGCGACGCAATTTGATTCAAGACACCAGTGTTCCACTGCCCTTCGTAGACATCGACACTCGAGATGGTGTATCGCCAGAGCTCGATTGATGTGCGCCGAGATTTGACTTACTTCTCACAGATGAATCTGCCGGCGAGCGCATCCACATATTACTCATAGGTCTCCTAACGCACATACCTGACCCCAATTTAAATCAATCTGCTAGGCCATGTAGCTTCGAAATGTGTGTGATTGGGTGTGGTTACTTGAAGTTTGCCTGACCTTGTTATGCAACAGCCGAACCCGTCGGTCTGATTTTATCGAGCGTAGTCCATCTCAAGTTAAGGTTCTATGATATTTAAGCGAATTAGAAAGCGTGGAAGTGAACAAGACCCACGTACTGCCTGGTCGGACGTTTTCTGCTCCACATGTTTTGATAGTAAACATCACTCTCGTAACACATGATTCCGCTGCTCGAATGGCCAAGACGTTTGCCAGCATCGCTCCACAGAACCTTGCTGCCGCAGCCAAAAGAGCTACTTACAACCCTACAGTTTATCTCACAGCAATATATCTGGCTAACCGTCACATGAAGTCCGACGATGTATTCCGAGAGGTATATCCAGAGAACTATGCTACAAGTATTCAGGCAAGAAGGAATTTATAGACAAGAGTAGATTATAGTGCGAATTATTACCGTATAATTTGACAGCGGAAAGACTTTCTACGATGTCGACAACAATTTCAGCTCTTCAATATTTCTGCGACCTCTGGAGCCTACGCCGCATCGCAAACGCTAAACTCTGGCGTCATCAGTTGGGTCAGAACGAGAATACTCTGATAACTGCCGCCAAACATACAATTACAAGCTCAACAAGACCAAGACGCCTAAGTTTGTTCCGGGAACGAGTAGATTGCTCCCCATTCAGGGCAGGGACAAGGTCGATGAGGTGGTGCACAATTTCCTCGTCTTCCTCCTCTACTACCGACTACACGCAGCAAGATGAATATTAGGTATTGCAATGTATAAATGCAGCTTACAAGGGCGAGACTGGACCTGTAGGGAGTTCCTTCGTGACAGCGATAGTCGACAGTTTGCTGACGCAATGCGTGAGCGGGAAAGGGACAAGTGTCGATCGTACATCAACGCACGCAAACCATCAAGCGCGCGGCACTCACCATCAAGTCCTTACTCCCACTGTGGGCGATGCCTCGAACATAAGGGTGGTATCGGTTTTGGTACGAGCGGTAGCATGGGAGACGGAGTTGAGAGGGTGGAAGAGCCGCGGGGAATCTCTGAGAATCACTAGATGCGCTGTGTTCCATGATGGGAAAACAGAATAGAGTGAGCTGCGCAAAAGGTAGACAGAAATGAGTGGAAACGATTGTGTGAGGTTGGCCCCCTCGAGGCTGGAGTAACGGGGATGATGAGAACTGGGATCAAGCGAGAAAAATTCAAGAGGTTTTAATCGTAAAACATACGTACAAATGCCCATTTTGATGCTCGTGGGGACGTGGGGAAAGACGCCCAGGATGGGATCCTGGCTTGCCATCTACCATGGGCTCCTTAGCTCAACTTCCGATATAAGGAGCTCTATGCCACCAGGCGTGCGTACTGAAGTCATGTCGCCAGCATTTTGCACGTTGGGCCTATCGAGACGCGTCGAAAACACCTTAAATCCTGAAGATTCAAAACTGCGCGGTTCCACATAAGTTCTCGCCCTATGCATCCCCCATGGTGCGATACAGCACTCAAACTCGAGCAACCCCATCCTGACTCGTCGTCCAGAACAAATCACCAGTCTCCGTGAGTCCTCAACACTCTGTCCAATGCGCGAGCAGAGTCAATCATGCACACTGCCACTCGCAGAGCTGACTCCTATCTCAGGTCACTGCGTGGTTACATGGCATAGTCGCTGCGTCTTCCAGATAGGACATATCCTTATCCTTATGCGCAGAGGCCGCAGCGTGTCTTATCTCTGCTCTCCACGTATGTTTCTCCTCGATCACCAGTCGCGACTAATGCGCGTTCCTCTCTTTTTAGACGCCTGCAGTCATATGTGACACCTCGCGTCGTCACGCCGCGCATTATCCCCTTTGCCATAACCATGATGACCCTCAGTGTGGCTTGCGTCCGAACAAAAACCCCATTTTCATGCACAATAATCAAATCATGAACAGTGTGAAGACCAAGACTCAACAGCAATGTCCCGAAAATCCACAGTGTGACAGAACATAAATCAACTCAACTCACCAGCATCGAGTTTGTCCAATACAGTCGCCGTGGGTAGCCCAGGAAGTAGCCTTTGAAGAGCTTCAGAAACCAGATGGCTAGAGTGCATGATAGCACAACAGAGTCCGTGTGCAGCAATCGCCGGTCCAGATTGCTAGGCCTCCCAAGAACGCCATCTGTCGTCAAGGCGGCAATGCCATGAATTGTGTGCAAAAGACCAGTTCAGTCGGCGAATCGCTCGAGAGAGAGAATGCACAAAGCACAGGGAAGTGAGCCTGATTTTTGACCGTTGCGCGATGCAAGAAAAATTGCAGATAGGGGCCACGCACGGCCAGTGGTGTGCGTGTCTAGAAGCGTTCGCCACTCCATGAAATCAAAACCAGCGTCGAGAATGGCATACTGGATGTTACAAATCGTGTGGACAAGCTGTCATGAAGGTTGAGCGTCGTGGAAAGACCAGATACGCGGCAAGTGGTCGGAAGCAACCCATTGGCGAACGGCGCGGCGTTGAGTTTGCGAGGGGCCATCAGCTGCAAGCTTCAGCCACTTTGCAACGCTTGTTCCTCATTTCTGGCTCCCCTCTGAAATCCCTGCCTGGCTTAGAAACCGCAGAAATTTATCTTTCGTTTTCACCGCTCGCACTTTGATTTTCCGTGTGCGCCAGTCTCGCAAATTCAAGCAACACCTATCAATGGTTCCATCCACACACCCGTCCCCACGCCGTGGACTGTTTATGTTGCCTGCTCTGGCCACAACAGTGTCTGGAACACCCCCTCTCCAACCTGTTACTCTCACTTCACACTTCCCAAACGATCCCCCCGCTCCAGCACACATACGATTGCATGCTTATCACTTCAATATGTTCAACGGCGCGAGTGGCAACTTTCCGCAGGCTCCCACACCCCTCGACGTTTTCAACGCAACATCGCAAACTTTTTGGAAATATTGTCTACGAGGGATACGAGGACAGAACATAAGACGAGGAGGAGAATAGTTGGACTCTGATTGTAGGAGCACGTACGAAACACCACAAGCTTGCAGGCAGACTGATGAGCTTTCCAGTACAAATTCATCCGCTCATCGAGTCTCCACCTGTCGTGAACAATCTGGAACGCAACGGGAGGGAAGGTTGTAGCAACCTTCACAAAGACACTATAGATTCTCCTCGATGAACGGGCCTGGTAACTCAATCAGCGACTCTGGTCCTAGGTGCGGGGCCACGCACGAGATCTTTCACCTATTCTGCAGAATAATTTAAGCACTGCATAATTGTGGGCTGAGCCATCAACTTAGAGAGTACATCAATCACTGAGCCGTCGCCCTTTACCCTTATGGGTCCGTTGCAGCGGAGGACAAGGGATGCAGCCCCGGAATCACTGCGATTTATTGCGTATCGCAACCCCCGTCCAAGCCACGACGGTTCATTGTAACATTCTTGATTCAACAGCGTGGAAGTGGGCGATGAATCGCCGCGTGCTATCCGACATCGGTGAGAGCTGTGTCACCGCCCTATCGACTCTTTGAAGAATCAGCGAGAAGGTTACTCAGTGGATATTGCGAATCAGCTGGATTCACTCTCACCGGCCCACCCACCCTCACTCGTACGCACTTTCTTTTCACCTGGATTATTGTGCTCACACCATGAGCCATCCTTCCTCGCACCGTTCAACAGCTACTCCCGAAATCCAGGGTTGTAGTCGATGTGTCTCAAGACAGAATCGTCTCTCGCTTCACACTTCGCCCTTTTTGATCAAACGTGCCATGAGCTGAGGCTCAATCAAGTCCGCATAAATGACAGCGGCTACAAGATCGATGTGTAGGGCACATTGCTTTTTGCAGGCTTCAGGCACTGTGCAGTCCTTGACATCCATTACATCGGATTAGAGGAGCAAACCCTATTCATACATTCTGAGATAGAGTTCCATGCTTCAACAACCAATAGTTTGGATATTGAGCCCTAGTCATGCACAATAAAACAGTAGCGATATATTGATGTCACATGTACCAACTTGATTGCGACGAGGCCTGATATCATTGTAGTAGACGTGATTTTTAAATACTATGATACACCGAAGACAGTTCAGTAGCATCCGTTAAGTTGGTCAAACAGGAATCAATCGACACATCACATGAAGATGGAAGACTAAGGTTTAGCCAGAATAAATAGGGAGTTTATATAACGAATGTCGGGAACGACGATGCGAAACACGAAATAGAGACGAAAGCATGCGTTCATTCTTCGATATTGCAAACGTTTAGCTGGCGATTTGGCACTAGTGGGGAGGTCGGCGACCGGGGCACAGTCGAAGAGGTCGCAGACTCTGAATGCGACGAGCCCTGGATGACATACTCACCCTTCGACGTGCGCATCGCAGCTTGGGGCGAAATGGTATCCCCGCGCGCACTCTCCGACGCTTCGTATGCTGGCGGCGCGATTTCGTCGTCGGGATGCACGGAGGGCTGAAGGAGCCTGTCCTCCGCATTAGGCGAAGATGGCTCCGACGCGATCGACATTTGAGAATGTGTGGCGGGTCTGAGGGGAGACAGAGGCGTCGCAGCAGCGAGAGTGTACGGCTCAACCCTGTTGGCGGTCTTGTGCTCCTCGACCATGGCGACAGTGTCCTTCAGAAGCGCACGGTCGTGCCTACTGCGAATGTAGAAGAACGCAACTAGTCCCAGAAGGGCAACACCGAGTACGCCGCCAATGGTCCCGCCGATAATTGCACCTTTGCTGGTCGACTTGCTGCCCGTAGACCTCGAAGCAAAGCCAATTGTGTCTGTGCCATTGCGTCCGACGTTGAAGATTCTGACAACACAACTGTGAACAAGACAATTCCATCAGGCGCAGTCGGTCACACGTACAGATAGAACTGCTGAATAAACAGGGCACCCAGCAGATGTTCGTCCACGGTCTGGTCACTCCACGCCTCGATACCACTCGCACATACTCCATTGCCTAGTTGAATTACGAGCGCCGACTGGTCAATCGAAAACGTCTGCGAGCCAATGACCACCGAGAATGTAAACTGCGCGTCGCACGGCACCGTCCATGCCTGTGATTGGTTACCTAGACTCGACAAGCCGGTCTGCAGCGAAGAGCCAGAGATGGCAGCATCTGTCAGACGCCGCAGATCAGTAAAAGTAACACATCAAGATGTCATATCCAACTTACTGATCAACGCAGCTTCGGCATACGGGAAATAGATGTCCGGGTAATACGGATCCACCACGGTCACCATCTGTGTGTTGTTCGAGATTGACCCACTCCCGCTCTTGAACATCCAGCCATCCAGCTCCACGGTCCAATCTGGTTGGCTGCCGGTGGCGAAAGTAATCCCCTGGTAACTTTCCACAGTCTTGTACGATAGCGAACTCGTGTCATAGACACTCGTATCAGGTGATAGCCAGTTAAGAGTCCCTGCGCTTACGGACGAGGGCAACGTGGTCACGGCGCTCGAGCTGGTCGTGGGCACGATCGCAGGAGGTTCAAGATTCATACCAAATTGGAATGCAGCCTGGTCCTGGTTATTGTTGAGCCAATTGCTGAAAATGGTGTCGCTGAAGCTGGCCGAGTAGTTCGTTCCCGAGCTCGTCTCGCCACTCGAGGCGAAGACCCTATTCGTACCGAGCCCGATCAATCCCGAGATACCGTTGTCGAAGACTGAGCCATTGGCCTGTTGCTGAGCAATGAGTACTGCAGACGGAAGTAGATATGAGCTTTCTTCACCGTGACAAGGGAACGCCTTACTAGTTTGGTTCGTGTATATCCAGGGGGCTCCCGAGGTGACCATGCTACAATTATCCTTGACGACCGATCCACTGTAGGATCCCCCTATGAGGGAAACACCATCCGTGCCGTTCAACGACTTGGCAGTACCCGAATCAGCTGCGTTGAACCTGTAGGCGCATATGTGAGTGAGGAGATAACGGGGATCTGAGAAAGAATCACACTAACAAATTCGTATTCACGCAAGAAGCACATTCTGACCCTGCCACAGATATCACGCCTGTGCTGGTCGACAATGTGAAGTTAAAGTTTTGTTGATTGTTTCCTGGCGACTGGGTGCGAGAGAAGTAGGTGTGGCGTCGGTTAGTTCGTCCTCCATTGGCAACGAGGATCACTCACAATGCCCACACCTAACGCATACCTACCATTGCTATCGAAGTGCAGAGGGATATCCACAGTCGCGGGGCCTGAGTCGTCGGAAGTGGCGCGCCTCTGCACGCTCAGTGGGTTTGGAGATGCGGACACCAGGTGCGCGGAGCACAATCCTAGCCAAAGAATCGAGCTCAAAGAAGGCATAAGACGTAAGCGAGAGGACAGAATATATCAGGGTCAATTATTCTGCGGGATATTCAAACAATGAGCACCGGAGCGACTGAAACGCAGGTCATACCAAGAGAACATCAGCCCGCGACACTCACCGTGTAGAGTACTGTATGGCCAGAACTGATTGGTCGTCTTGAACAGCGATAAAGAGCTAGGGTCAGCAGCCTACGGCGTGCACTGAAGACCACTGCTGAGCCCGGGAGCCTTTGCTGAGCCCGAGGATATGCGCGGCACGAAAAGCGTAAGGAGGGGCGTTTCACGCATTTTTAGTTGCGATACGCAAGCGCGCGACCGGCAACATCGCTACGGTCCGCGGAGCGGCAGCCGCCTTTCGGTACTCCCTCACGTGGGCGCGTTCAAACAATGCTTTCTAAAAATGGGATTCCTCGCTTCCTCTCTTGGCGCTCATTGCTGGCTCGTACCGACATTCATCTTTTGCTCAGTTGTATTTCTTCAGGATTTTGAGGAAAGTGGATTGAGATGTGGACGGTTTGGGTTTCTGTGCTAGCGTCCAATCTTTCAAGGCACAGATCGAGTGGCTCCGACCGTGAGCGCTTTTCCCCCAGATCTCGGGCTTAAAGGTACGCAGCTGCCCGGTATCTTGGACAAGATATTCAAGCTGAGATGTAGCTACTTGACATATGTGTCGTGTATATAATGGCATGTGGCTGTAGGTGAGTTCGCTCGAAATTTTGCTGTCTTTAAGTAGAGATAGGTGCCGTTAGAGCGCGTTGTTGCGGCGGGCGCCGTGGCGATGACTCAGGACTCAGAATGCACTAATTCATAACAGGCCTGGCGACGCTACTAAGTTTAGAATAGGCAGTTCGCTGCAGGATTTTACCTCAAGTGGCATGAGTGGCCGCCCGATGGTCGAAGACACAGCCATTGCAATGATTGCATCGTAAGACGCCATTCGTACTGTTAATCGACCGCAAGCTATTGGTACCGCCGCCGATTAATCGAGGGTTCGCAGTCCATGGATTTATATTCAGGATATTCACTGCTGTGCTTCGAGGAATGTACAGCTTGAGTTCTTACGTGGTGTAACAATCTCGGGGACAGGTTAAGAGGATTTCTTCTACATTCTCGATTTCTTCCGAGCTATGACCCCTTAGTCCGCTACCAACATCTTTCAGCGTGCTCACGGCCATAATGAGTGGCATTCAATATTTTTGCCCAATACATGCCCACCGTAACAAGCACTCTCGGGATTGCCAGCCAAGCACTCTCGGTTTGATCGATCCTCATGTTGTCACTGCTCACTGCCTCCCCTGCTTTATTATTGAGTATGCAATTGTTTCTCCGCTATGGTAGCTGTTCTCTGACTGTACTCTTGTGCTCGTGGCCTTCACATCAATACGCGTGTCCGCAAGGATCGTGTGGCGTGCCGCTTATCTGCGAGCTCTCGATGCAATGAGGCAACCCTCTCGCGTGAGTGGAGACATTTGCGTCATCTTTACTCTATGACGTCCCCAAGTCGATGCGGAACCTACAGATGCTTTGGATTGCTTTTAAAAGCTCAAATGTTTTTTCTGGATTGAATGCGTAATAATATTGACTTTTGGCAGGGCCTCGCACGGCTTCCAGGTTTTTCAAATTATGTATAATACTGGCCAGGGCACCGGCGAGTGTTTTCCATTGAAATAACAGCTCAAACCCCTATTCATTCGCGCATTCCTCTGCTACTTAGTCTTATGGTCATCAACACGGCTAACGTGATAGGTCTACCGTATACGCCAGTCATGTAGATATATTCATAAGCTATACAATTGGGTAATGTAGTCAAATCAATCTAGCTGTTACATCCCCGGTTCACAATAGCATTAGGGTGGCATGATTTGTATGCGCAAAAATCATCCATAGCATTAATCTTCGGAAAATAATGTGACCAACGGAGTATCGTACAACAGTATTTTGTGTTCTTCTATGCAATGCAGTCCAGCGCAATCGATCACAGCCAGCCACCTTCAGATAGCAATCTTCGAACTTCCACATTATCTGGCTTTAGGTTACCGTTCAGTGGCGCGAAGTATCTTCTCGAATGATGCCTGAAAGTGACTGGGAAAAACAGGCCTTCTTTCTGGATTTCACAGACAATGCTCAGCTAATGGGACGTGGCAGCCTATGGCTTGGAACAGACCTGACGAGTGGGGCCTTTCCGTGTATTAGTCCCTGAGATGGTTCCTTGAACCCACTCGCCGTCATTCGTCTTCACCCACACAGCGTCTCCATTCTGTGGCGCGCGTCGCATCGCATCCAGGTTTGCGTTCATCAATTCTGAAAGCTCTCTCGGATGAGGCATTCTAGCCCACGCACCTGAAATGTATATGTGATGGGCTCATCCAGCTCGTCGGGCTGATACTCGCTCGCGGAAGACAGTGAATTAGACGACACATCACATTCAAAATCGCTGATTGCATTTGGGTCGGATGAGTCTGCGCCACTCGACGTCGTATCGCTTCCGGCACACTTTGAATGCGAGGTGCGTTGGCTGTGGCGTATTGCTTTCTTCGAGTTTGATGTTCGCGAGAGAGAAGGCATGATGGGAATTCTGACTGAGACACAGAGAATGAAGAGAAGTCGAGAGAGTAGAGAAGAGCAGGCGACGAAGGAACGGTGACAACCAGCTTAGAGACGGTAGAGTAGACAACCTTCGCCAACGACCACAGGAAGATCCGTTTCGAGTTCTTATAGTGTGGTCTATGTGGCTGGTACAGGCCACACGTGCTCTGGGTCTTGGGACTCGACGCGTTGGACGACTGGGCCTTCGAGGACAAAGACAAGAGCCGGGCGCGTGGAACAGCCTAGAAACGTCCTATTTCCGAGCGACGAAGATGAAAAGCGCACAGAGTGAGTCCTGTAGTTGTATAACTTCTTGGGAGGGGAGACAGCTGCTATGATGTGGATGCTGTCAGGAGATACTAACTGTACTCGGGAGACGTCAGCCGATGATAGTTCAAGCTCATAAGGTCCTTCAACAAAGTTGATCCGCTATGAATCCGAAGAGCTGAGTGCAATGTCCGTGAATGACTCTGAAGATCCTCAAACTATCCAAATGGTGGAACGTAGGCAACAGGTTGTGAAAGAGAGGATCAACGAAGTCTTTGAAGAATTCAAGATACATAGCATCGTGACATGCGGTTGCCGCCCATGTAGCTCAGCTGTATTAATATGGGCATGCCGCTTCCAGTTTTAGTAACTGTGGCTGCGTTCTGGATCGGTAAGCTGACACTTACAAGCACTGTTCAGCCTCTAGAATTGCCGAGGCTTATTGCATAGTACCATCTCATGTGTGAGAAATGACTCATACAATACCATGCGCGAGCTAATGCACAGGTCTACGACTTGTAAGGCATGTACTGCCCCGAGTCAATCGGGACAAAGTATAGCGACCTCACATATGTCAGCAAAGGGAACGTGCGAATATCTCATTGGCACGTCATTGTGAAAATGCCTGCTTAACCTGTTTAACAGAACAGTCATTTTAAGTGTGCAGTGGGAAAGCACAGAAACGTGCCCTTGTGCAGAATCTTCTTCACCTGGAGCTTACTATTGTTTGAAGCACCAAGTGCCACCAGTAAAGTGGTGACCCCAATTCAAAATTCATGTAGCATCCAAATATGATGTTTCTATATTAGTATGTATGGTCACAAATAGGTTCAGGTATGATTACTTAAAACATGTCTTTCCCATGCATACATATTTTTTGACTGCTTTGCAATCATGATAGTTTGGCTGCGACAACCCTCCACTTATATTACGAGATTCCATGGTGTGCGTGGAAGTCTTCGGAAATATCATCTTGTCAGTTGTGCTCGCGAATCTGCGTCTTCACTTGGTCACAGAGCACGACTACTTAAAGCATAGCGCACTGCTTTAACTAGGTGAGCTCAGTCTAGACATTACTTGCACCATATCTGCGAGAGGCTCCATTGAAGTCCAGGAATCATCGTGGGACTGGGAGAATAGCAGGGGTAGTTGTCAAACACTTGATCCAGACGGTTGCTATGAACGTCTAAAGAAGTAAGGCAATATCAATCAAGCATATATACGATAGAGGAAGTACTTAGCGTCAAAAACGAGTATTCGCTAGATCACGAAAGCGGATAAAAATAAGCGTAGTTTCAAATGGCAGAATGTCTTCATGATGGAACTAGGACTGTATACTAATCTAAGGAGCACAATATTTGCACTCGCAGGGCTGCGCAAGTCAACATCCGGCGGAATCTGAATTTGCCCCGTTGACGTCGTGTACTTCCATCAGATCTGTGAATAGCCCAGGGTCCGTCAGCCACTAGATAGGCCACGGCAGGATATCATGCACAGCCGGGCGACTAGCATGAGCGCGATCGCTTGACCCAAACCATACAGTAAATAACGCAATTCACATCGGCCTGGGTGTCGCATGGATACTAACGACCCTGATATGTCATCTGGACTGCCTCCGCAGCGAACCACATCTAGGATAGAAAAGCCAATAAACCCTTTAAAATGATGGCTCTTCCTGAATGCGATTCGGTGCTTCAAGTATTGCCACGTCGAATGGCACTACGTGTTCATGAGGAATTCGAAAGAAGATTCATTGAGGACGCAATGTATACTCGGATATTTTGGGACAATGTCTATGTTCTCATACCAACCAAAGGGAGACTCTGTACTCCGCTCTGTCTGTTCAACTCGGTAGGATTAGTCGTTCTATGTCAGAGGTGCGCAATCAATGACAATACACACCCGTGGGACGAGAGAATCACCAACTTCAGATCGGGAGACTAATCTACCGAGTTGAGAAGGTGATCTCTTGAAGACTTTTTGATCATGCTGTTATTTACCTAAGAGATCTGTTATAAATGCGCGTCTGCCTAGATCATAAGCGCGTGATATTAGGTGTCATGGACGCCGCTGATTGAAAGGAGGTACTGGAATTCTGCCGAGCGCACAGACCGAAACAGAGTAGCCCACCTTGATTCTTCCATCTTAGGCACGAGGTCGAGAGAAGTGCGAAGGTGGTACCTATAAGTACTCTGGGAAAGGACCGACGTGACTTCCCCGAAGATGTGCCGATATTCGAATCCCGTCCTGGAGAACGTTGGTGCTAATAGACTCACATTCTGAAATTTGAGCCCATGTGCAAGGGTGAGATGCGCTTCTTTCAGATACTAATCCACTTTCTCATTGGCGTTGGGAATCAACGCACATGGCGCAGAATCTTCCCAGATTTATCTACGTGGGAGTTAGTGTCACACGATTATTAGCAAACGACATGCTCACACAAGAAATGGCTGGCAGATTGTAATTACGCCGAAACAAGGGAACTCCGGTCCCGGAGACTACGGCAAAAGAGTGGAATCTACTATCAGATTGGAGGACGCCGAGCAGGTCGGGACTGGCCTCCCACGCCAGACTGAGGGCATGGAAAGATCTGCATCCTATGAAGAAATGCAATAGCTACGTACAGGTACCCTGGATGCCGTGCGGCCACGAGTGCAAATGTCAGTAACCCGTGAGCTTATTGCGACACATGAGAAGAGCTATTCATGTTCAAAAAATATTTCATTGCAGCTGGCTAGACTCACCGGCCTTGACTCGACTCGACGTTCCCGTCCAGTTTCACAATCCAGTATATCTTCCAGCGCGACATCTTTTCGCGCTAAGGATTGGCTCCTGGGAGAGATCAAATTGCATCGTATTTTACAGCAGATGCATAGGCTCGCGCTGGTCGTTCTCAGAATAGAATCCATCAGCGTTCTTTCATGGCATCGCATAGTATCACGATGGTGTCATATTTATTATCCAAGGTACATTGAAATAGGTTGAACGATCTGAAGCTTGAGCGCCAGTTCAGCTTCATCTGTTGCGTTCATCGGACCAGTTCGTGAAACCACTGTTCAGGCAATGTCAGAAGGCCGACGAGATGAACTGCGTTCCCCACGGTGCATGGTAACTCGACGAGAAAAGATTGCTCCCGACAGTGAGAGCAGATGGCAAAAGAAGCTGACATCGGAGCGAGCGGCCATCAAAAATGTCGTCTACATAAAGTTGTCGTATCCGGTTTGGGCCGCCGATATAATTTAATCCTTCGCCCAGGGGAAAGATGAGCTTCCTTTGCTTCGATGGCAAAACTATGGCACCCGGAACAACAAAGATGAAAATCAGAACTGCCAGGAGGGTTTGTCGGCAATTCTCACGGCGGAAGTGCGGAAGCCTAGTTCCGATGGAAGAAAGCACGAATTGAACACACGGTGACGGCGTGCAGCAACAGCCAACGAGCTGCATTATAAATGAAAAGCTTTTGAGCACATCTAATAATGAATTTGAAAGACCCGCACCGTTGGTTCTTCCAGAGGTTCGGTCATTAACTCATGAATGAGATCACAATTACCGGCAACTTGAGATGGGAAGGCAAAAAAAACATCCTGGAGTATGTCTTGCGGACATTAAGGGATGGGCACGCGAATAGCTAGACCGGTAGTAGAAGCTGGATTGAGCAAACCAATTGAGACATGAGGAAGTTAGAACTTCTGAAATGGATCGATTTAATTGCATGATTGCGTAGACACTTACCATGCTGTTGGCATTTAAGTAGTTACAAATACAGGAATCTATCTTAGAGTAAGCTCTCAGCCATATTGAGGCAGCAATCTCACCAATGACCCATGCATATCAAACGAAGCTAACGTATGAACCTAGACTAGTGACTCAAAGTTCCTAAATACCGCAGTGCTTTGATCCCGGACGTAATTGAATACTATACTGTATAGCTTCTTGGACAGGAGATCGAGAAGCACGAGCGAGTATGAGTCTTACGCAAGGATGTTCGGAAGAGATTCATGCAAGGCCCTGGAATCCTTATTTATTAAATAGAAGGCAATTCCCGGTCATTCAATCATGAGAGCGCAAACTTACGCTGAAAAGGTTCAAGGGGCGCATTTGCTGACCATCGACCAATCGCAACTCCGAAGTGACCTAATAGAACGCGGACTTGGCTAATACATTCGCGTTCTATAGAATCACACGGATCGATCCGTCTGAATATTTCCAAGCCAGGGGACCTATGCAATGAGCGCTATTTAGGGATGCACATGCCTGTGCATACCACCAGTAACAGCTGAACCGTGATGAACTATCTGTGTTTTTATGAAAAGAAGCCAAACGAGAATCAATCAAATGTGACATCTGAAATTTAGCCAGGAACTTAGGCACTAGACACCCAGCCAGTCCGCTGCGCGGGTAGCAGCATCTCCATCAATCACCAGGAGCTAATTTCTACGGCCATGACGAAATGCGCTGCATCGTTGCACGACTCACTGAATTTGGAAAGGGAATTTTGCGCTTTAAGGAAGGGAATGTCTACTTTGTATGGATGAAGGCAGATCAGTCAGCCGCACGCCGATAACATACATATAATATGCTTTGGGAGATATCACCTGTGAAAGATCGAAAATGCTATTAAGAATGATACGACACAAAGAACACAGCGCTCGTCATCTTTGAAAGTTCGTTCATAATCACCGTGCTACTCTACTGGAACGAATGAATTGTGTAACGGGCTGATGTGCGATGAGATTGGGATGAGATGGGGATTTCAAGCAACAAGTGTTGGATGAACAGATCTAGAGTTGAGGCAACCTGGTAAGTGCGAACACGACGGTGACGAACAATGACCAAACCTCAGGCTCGGCCAGAAGCACATCGACCGTTCACATTAGGCGCTATGGGGTGGTCGAGGGCCAGCGATATTCTACGACGTGGTCAGCTCTGGCGCTCTGGCCAACAGATACACGGTCTTGAGTATTTAGGCTTTATATGTGAGGATAATCAAGGTGTTGGATGCGACAACACCGAGATCGCAACCGATATCCCTTCTGTCATTTCTGATAGATTATGGAGAACAATCCAAAATTAGACGGGAATACTACCCGCGTGGAAGCATTAGGAATACCATGCCTTCTCGCATCACCAGAAAGATCGTCAAAATCTCACACGCGTTGACCGTAAGTGGGTCATGGTTCTAAAACCGATTCCTTGCAGCCAAACAGGACCGGGACAATCACAGTGAATACCATGCAGCTATTTATTGAGCTTAGGAGACTCCAGTAGTCCAGGATCGTTCAATGAGCATGTTCATATACCTAACCTGAAATCCGGTCAAAAGGTCTTAAAAACTTGGGGAGCAAAACAGAAACTCACAATGATGTAATGAAAACGTGTTCGGGAATAGATAGATCCTAATAATGATCCTTTAGCATGCCGCAACAGAAACCTCTCCGATAATGCTTCAGCAGCCGCGATCGTAATTCACAATAAACGGCCTTACCTGGACGCCCGGTGCCATTCTTCAACCGTCTACCTGATTTTCTCCACCGCCCCACCATCGAGTTTCCTCCTCCTACTAGGCGTTTGGTTGACCTCATTCTCTGCATTGGGCCATGGCTTCCCGCTCCACTCGACAGCGGGGGAATGCATATAATGATGAGAGTACGGGGGCGGCGCGATCGGGAACGCAGAGACAGGCTGTGGGGGAAGCATCGTCGACGTGTGCGCGGCGGGGTTTATCCTTGCTCGATACAGAGAAAGCAACGCATTGACGAAGACCGTCGCAAAGGCGAGCGATGACAGGGAGAATACCTGGGGAGTGAAGGTCGAAAAGATTCCAGTATTCAAGCAGTCAGCTGTCGTATTTTGGCTTTATCTTACTATAGACGTACCAGAGTCTTCCAACTGATTGGTTCTACAAAGCCATTCACGACCTCTGCGATGAGCTCCGCGCCGACCTTCGCTCGGCCAACCTTGGAGGGGTCGCGATTCATGCATGTCTCCCATACACTGCACTGGTGCGCCATAGCCGGAATGGGATTAGTAGCACAGAGGTTTGCCTTGTACTGCATCGCGCATTGCGCGATCTCTTGCACAATCTCTGCATGCCGCCATTCGCTTCAGTTCGTGGAAATATCAAAGGAACGGGCACCACGCACCCATCGAGTATTCAGAGATCTTCTGCTCCACGTCCCTCTGCACAGTCAGAATGAACTGCACCAGCACGTACAGAAACACGAGCACGAGCGACAAATTGAAGAAAAACTGCAAGTATCCTAGCAGCACATACGGCAGATCCGATGGAGGTGGCGCTGGTCCTGCCATGTTGAGTGTGTAGTGATTCGATGTTGTCTGTGGCATCAGCCCACGTTCGCCCTCGTTTTCCCCATCGCTGTCTGAGTCCGACTCCTCATCACTGTGTTCAATGCCGTCACCACGTCTTCTCCCTCGCCCAAGCCGACTGCGTGTCCGTTTCTGCTGGCGCGACCGAAAGACTCGACGCATTCCACCTAGCGCCAGCATGCGCTCACCCTTCTCTTCTCCTTCCGCTCTCTCCGCCTCTTTCGACCTCGCTTCATCTCTCCCCTCCGCTCCATCAATCTCCCTCCCCGGCCGGGGCGGGCTCGATTCTACCATGTCGATATCGCGGAGCTCCGGCTGAGGGAAGGTTTTCTCTGGTGCAAAGCGAGGAGGTGGAGCCCACGCGGGGGGATGCGACGAGTGTGGCGGAGGCTCCTGAAAGAGGAAAGGCACATTCGAGGGCTTTTGCGCGCCAAAGGTAGGGAATGTGGGCGAGGATGCATTGACATCTGCGAGTGGGCCTACGGAGGAGGGGTGTGTACACAGTGTTAATGAATGTACGGAGGTGCCCATGTCCGGAGAATTTATGACTCACGTTTCCGAGGACTATCCCCGTCCTGCGCCCACACAGGCTTCGTAAAGCTGCTTGGACGCGATGTAAATTCAAAATCCATCGGCGTCTCCACCGTCCGCGTTGTCCCATATCGTGTGGTCATTTCGAGTATAACTACACCAGTATGAAGAACGTCGTCAACTAGTTACTGAGCTGAGTTCTTCAGATTTTGGAACTTGAACAGCACAAGGGATGAAATAAGAAAGAAACAGCGAAGTGGCGTGGAATCTGCTGAATGCATACAGTGATGAGGAGGGCAACAGCGTCGACACTTGGTCCAAGGACGGTTCGAAGTGTCAGTGTGGACGCGTGGGTCACGTGGGCGCGGACGTGGCCTGGCGCGTGGTGCCCAGTGTGGTGGCGGAAGTCTGGACGCGAGGAGGAGCTGACGATTTGCTTCGAGCGAAAAGCGGGGCCGCACGAGTATACGACGTCAATCTCCACTATGGCAAGCAGAAGTCTATTGAATCGCTCCTTCTTGTCGGCTACGCGCAACCATGTTGCTACATCTCCAGCTGCAAGGCAGCTCTGGGATTATCATCGCCGCCACATCCATCCTCTCGCCACAGACTGGTCGTCGCCTCCGGCAATTCAGTCGAACCTTGTGCCTATTGTCATTGAGCAAACGGTTTGTTGCATCATACTACTTCGCGGTCCAATCTCACATAGATGCAGGGAAGGGGCGAACGGAGTTACGACATATTTTCCAGGCTCCTCAGAGAGCGGGTCATCATGTTGTACGGACCTGTGAGTTTCATATTCAGAGGCGCGCTATCTATTCCGCATGAACTACTTATACACCTATCAAAGATTAGGGATACCGACTCGGCATTAACAGTTGCACAGTTACTCTTCCTTGAGGCTGAAGAGACGTCAAAACCCATTCATCTGTACATCAATTCTCCAGGAGGCAGTGTAACCGCGGGCTTGGCGATATATGACACAGTAAGTGCCTTCGCTTTTTCCCTCTAGGGGTTTTTAATCCATGCAGATGTAGATGCAGGTGCAGTATTTGTTCTCAGACATTGTTGATTGGCTGAGGTACTCACATAACCTCAATATTACTGCCGATATTGTCATAGTATGTATCTTCGCCAATACACACGTACTGCGTTGGGCAGGCGTGCTCTATGGGATCCTTGCTTTTGGCAGCGGGCGAGAAGGGAAAACGACACGCGCTGCCCCACTCGACCATCATGATTCACCGTAAGTAGCTTGTTTTCTACTTAGGGATGGACCTTATCATTTATATAAACTGTACCTTCCACATGTCTATCTCGGCTGACTGAACTTCACATCTGCTCCCACAGAACCCTCCGGTGGCGCCTCCGGGCAAGCATCGGACATTGCCATTCACGCGAAAGAGATACTGCGTGTGCGAGAACTGCTCACGGGGATCTATCAGAAGCATTGTGGTCATGAAAGCGAACATCTAAAAGATGGAATGCGGCGGTTTGGTGAGAATTCCTCTAACTTTTCTGGGATCATCGGGCTGAATGAATTTGAAACTCATAGAGAAGGCATTGGAGCGGGACTATTTCATGACGGGTAAGAGGCTTGTGGATTTCATTCCGCGATTCCTATGCTGATGTACCGTCCAGCGGAGGAAGCACTCCAGTTCGGGATAGTAGACAGTGTGTTAGAGAAGCGCCCCAAGCTGGATAACCCGATTTAGGGCGACTACCATGGTTCCTATTGGTATATTCCCATAGCCCTTTACTCAGCGCAACGCAACGCATGGCATACACTCGTTTTTGCACTATTCGCCGACGCCTGCATCCAGCATGAATTGCCACAGACCAAATAGGAATATGCGATGCCTTATCGCATTCACAAACAATTGAAGCTGCGAGTCGATCTATGTCCGGTTTGTGTATGCCATGTACCTTCTGCGCTGGGTGCGCTCTCTCTCTATCTCTTGTCGATAACTCGTCCTCCAGTCTTCCATACCAGCAGTATATTTGGGATCGTCTGTCTCCGGTGATCGCTGCGATATTCACCGACACATTGCGCAATAGAGGGCTGATGAGTATCAGATGGACCTATTTTCCGAATCGTTTTGAATGGGACTCATCTCACGATACAGCCACTCCGTTGGCGGGCACCTCCACTACTAGGCGGCCGGAACTTGATCTGCCACGATTGCGCGTGCCAATTCCCCCATTAGATCAATCAGTTGAATGTTGGGCGACTTTACTATGAATTCGTTTCTGTTGAGCCCCGAATGGTGCTTGGATAAATTTGAATTGGCTTGAATTTCATTGATAGGTTGGGCGCCTATAGGTGCCCGAAGATATCAAATTACTGACGAGAATTACATTTTGTGTGCAAGATACAGTGCAGGGGACAATGGTTTGGTCTATATGCACGTAGGTTTTCAGCAGTCTGGTGGAGTGTGGATCGTGGAGGCACACTATTGGTGCAAGAAAGACGTAGACGCTAGAGGACGGTCACCAGTGGATGCGGAAGAGCAACTAATTTGGCAGGTCTGTCCAGTCACTGTCCTTGCTTGAATTGTCAGAGCTCAGCCTCTGTATTTGATGCTTTCTCGTTAAATCCAATCTTGACGTTTTCCTGTTCACAGTACGTAGTACACCATTTTGATGCTCTGTTCTCATCTAGATCTGTGTCAGTGGCGCATAACGCCTGATCACGATGCCAGACATTTCAGAGCCAGCAACTCGATCCGTTATTTGAACGTCTGGGTGGGGATGCCATCTAGGCCGACTTGTGTCACTCGCGTGTATGTAAATCCTAATTGGCTGTATCATGAGCTTTGCGGCTTCCATCGCGCGGACCTCCCCGGTTTCCGTATTGCTGGTGAGCCTGTTTATTCTCTCACAGTGGACAGATGCCACCGAAACTCGAGTCTACGATCAACAAGCGAGTGCGCAGCTCCGTAGCGCGTGAAGCCAGCTATCTAGACCGGCCACTTCATCCTAATCTTCGATAAGGAGGCCACTGGGACAAGAGATCCTATACGATGTCTTCCGCCCTTTTGCCCTCAGGTTCCTGGATAAGTTTGGTTTATATCGGTCCGCATCTGCAAGGGGGGCGCGAGCATGAGCCATCTATACACAATTCGTACTAGTGACTTGCGCTAGCCCAAACGCAGAGTGACTTCGACATAGCTTGCACGCAGGGTTCGCTGTTCTCCGCGATACCATGTTGTCTCGTTCCAATGAAACCGGCGATTCACAGTGAGACAAGTGGCAAAAGCTAGAAAACGCGGAGGATGGACAATTGGTCTGCCGCATGGCCACAATACACGGCTGTCCGGATACACGTTGGATCTTCGCCGAATCATGATATATTATCCTACTAACCACAATCAGATGTTCGTTATCATAAACGTGAAATTGTACTTTCGCAAGCGCTGCACTCGCTCCGAGTGTTCGCACCAAAAGCCTCTGATGACTGCTACCGGCCCGATGCACGGTACCTTTGGTTGCGCCGGAAGGCCTTCAGAATGGACTGAAAACGAGCATAGCAATAGCAGAAGTCATATTCCCATACGAGTTTCAATCTTAGGGAAGACAAATTGTACAAACAAGCATTCGGATAGGCATACTACAACTCGATTACAGGATTTCCAATGATAGCCACTTTGGACTAGGAGCTTCGACTCGATCGCATATTTCACTGCAGCGTTTCCAAAGACCACGTCTCCGTCGTGCCAACATAGTGTGCCTCCACGATGGCCGGAGAGTCCGGCTGCTGGAATCCGACGTGGACGTCGACAATTGAACCAGTGTCACTGGTGACTCTGGCATACAACAAGTTGCTCGTCTCGGCAACTGTGTAATCGGACGTGGGGAAGGAATATCCGTTAACCCACGCCGTGCCGTTCCAAGCTAATTCGACCAGGACGTTGTTGGAAGCGACGTAGTAAACCCTGATCTGTATGTAAATGCTCAGTCTCAACGCTACATCACGCGTAGCATCAAATCGTTTACCTGGTTGGCATAGGTGACGGCAGCCACAGGAGAGTTGTTGCGCACAGCAGTTGTGCTGATCTGGCCG